GTGGGGAAGTTGATCGCAATTCGTCACCGCACAGAAAAAGCTCAATGCTCCCGTTGATCTGACGTGAGAGGCCGACAGTATTGGATTGCTCACACCAACAAACTTCTCTCTCGTTCTCCGAACTTGGCGCGGATAAAGCTTCCGCTAATTGCAGTAAATGCTCAAACGAGGCCACTGGACTAATTGCCATAGATTTCACTAAATACCGGGTCGGAGAGCTGCTATATGATCCGGGCCTCCCAATGGCAGAGCAAGACCGACGGTGAGAACATCATCCTGGCCCGGCTGACCACGAATGACATGAAACAATATTAGCCCCGGAGATCCTCTTTTACGCCATATTGGCTCCCCATCACTTCTACTCGGAGGGACTTTATGATGAACGTGATAGTCAAATAATTGGTCACCCAGATATGCATCTGATGACTGTCCTGGATTTCTACTTCCCCATGTCGAAATAAGCACGTTGTCGCGCGAACTACGCTCCATCCTTTGGATACCTTTAGCGGCTAGTCTTGGGTCGCCACAAAGACCCGCCGATCCAAATCTAACCCCAACATAGAACCTTGGAGCCGAATCTGCGTACTCCTTCAAATCAATCATTGACCACGGGGTAATCCGATCATCTGTGGGAATAATTCCTCTAGCTCGCCGCGTCAATAGCGCGGTCCAAAGTCGCAAGTAGGCCGCAACACTGTATGGACAATTTGGGGGAGCCACTATTTCCAGCCCGCCTGGAATATGGCTAGGAGGAGGGCGAAACAATGGTGCTTCAGGAGATACAAGCCCATTTTGTGATTCCAACGCTCGCCAACGCTGATGATTTTCGCCCATTGGATTTGGCGCGTGATTGGAGTACCTGAATGCCTCAAGCAACTCCGCAGCCTCAAGCAACGAAAGTTGCCGATCCATGGAAATCCCTCTCAAATTGTTCGCTACAGTGACATCAGACCATGAATCACTTTTAAGTAGCGCTGCCAAAATATTAATGTTATCGGCAGCATACTTAGAAGTTTCGATGACTTTAATAAATGGATCCGCCCCTGGGCAAAGTGGAAGTGCCCTCAGGTTAGCGATTTTTCCTGTGGCTCTGAATCCGAATCCCTGCAGCACCGTTGGCTTCGGGGCAATACCTGGATACGCATTCATTGCCCCCAGAACCTCGCGACGCAATGCCTCGTCAGTTTCATGGTACGCGCGAAATAGTGCATGCTGATCACCAAACAGAAAAACACGGCATAGATTTAGATAACTCCCACGATAACCAAACCACCTTTGCATTTGCATCTGAGTGTCAGACGCTGGCTCTTCTGAAGATCGAAGAAAAAGAGTGGTCGTCAACCCCTCCAAAGTAATACCCCTAGACATAACATTTCCAGAAACAAATATCGTATAAATGTCCCTTGGCGCGACGTACAGCCCATCTCCAGTTTTTTGAATATCAAACTGAGGGCGTTCGTCAGCTCTAGGGTCACTATTGACTACGGCTAGCCTTGTATTGGGAAAGACTTCTTCAACAAGTACTTTTTTAACATCCTCCCAGCGATCCAGTCCAATATTTTCACTAAGACCACTATTTGGAAAAAATGAAAGTCGCTGCCTCGTATCCTCAAATCGGCTAATCCAAATCTTCCACTTGTCTTCTTCTGCACTCAATCGTGTTACTAACCCCTCAAGGCAAAGTAACGGCAGTTCATCCATAGAAAACTCGGCGGACGCAGCCTCACTACCAGTTGACAAGAACTCTTGCGTCCAAGCAGCAATTTCTTTCGCAGCTATAAAATGTGTCCCGATTCGAGCGGAAGGATGGAACAGCATTGAATGTGGCTTAGGGGTAAGCAAGCGAATATTTTCTGCAGTATCGGGGGCCGCATTTTTAGCCCCACTGAGACTTCTCCTGGATAGAAGAAGTCGTATTGCGCCGCTGACAAAATATGAACGTAGCGCTTCGCCTAGAAGCGCCGCCCGTTCAACTTCAATACGAATTTCAAAATCATCATTTGACTCGTTTGGAGACTGGACTGGAAAGTCTCTCGTTACACACGGGGCACCAATAGCCCCCTCAAGTCGCCTGTAAAACAGCTCTCCTCCCGTGTAGAAACTGGCCAAACCACGTGTGTCTTTAAAAGTGGACTCGCGTGGAGGGGTAATTGAACCAGTGTCTAGTGGTACACGGAGTGCCGCAACAAAATCGGTCGGACTCAATGGATTGTGATCAGCCTGTAGAAAGTTGGCTTGCGGAGTAGCCGTGTATGCCAAATAGGATACAAAAAGACTTTGACTAATAGTTTCACTAGATGTCCCATGCCCAGTCCACAGTCGCTGGATATGTCTGGGAATTTGCTTTAGTAAATCTGAGTCGATCGAAAGACCTCTTTCGGCTTCACTGTCAAGAATAGAGCCATCATCTGCCTCGTCATCTATTACCAGCATATGCAGCGGTCTATCAGATTTTGAGAAAGTTGAACCTAACACCTTGTGCAGATATCGGCCAAACTGTTCAAGATGATCAACTTGCTTCATCACCACGGCAATTAGTGGTTTTTGCTCGACCAACATTCGCCTAACGAAGTTAGGAGTCTCGAAGTAAAGATTGCCCAGATCTGAGCCTCCATCACTTGCAAACAACGTTACTGGAGATGGGAGCAGAACTCGCTCCGCCCGTCTATCAGAATCGGTGTCTTCCGTCCACTGATCCAGTTGCAAAACTATGCGCTCATAGGTTTGTCTCCACAATGCTGTCCGTGTCCCGCCGAGAACAATGACCACATCAACTTTGCTATCTAGGGCTTTAGCAATTACTGCAATCAATGAGGCTGTCTTACCTGATTGCACAGCTCCCATGACCAAACCACGTCGGGTCCGATTTTCTGGCCAACCCTTGAACGCGTCATCTTTCTCCTTAACTCCAAAGATCCCTTGGTCAAGGACATACTGCGAGTCCAAATCAATCACTTGCACAGCAGAATCACTTAACCCATTTGTCGAAAGCTGATTGCGGTACTTGGACCACCAACCATCCGCCTCGGGAGTGATTGAAGATACGGTGACACCAGGCTCACCATCTGAATGAAGGGCAATTTTTTCGGTGACCACAACTCACCTTAAACGCGTGGCTTGTAATGGAGTCGTGCTGCCTTAAGGGTGGCTAAACAACTTACACCGTACCGATCAATCAAAACAACATGAAGCATATCAAGATCAATTGAAGCGATTTCCAGCAGCCCTAAGGCAACCTCACCGATGAAGCCCCATTGCGTTTTATTTTGCGTATTTTCTGGCCTTCTGTGACTCTTGGTGAATTCCAAAATCTCCTTACGGTAGGTTCCAAGGATTTCACTCGCATCGTTTCCACTGGCGTTGAGCAAAAATACCCCAACCAAACTTCCGATCAATTGAAGTTCTTGCCACTTCTGGCCGTTGTCGTCGTCCTTAAATTTCGCATACCAGCAGTCTGCAGATGAATGCGCTGTTAAACATTTTTCTAGTTCACGGACATATTCAACTAATGTCGGTTTGCGACCAAGCTTGTGACTAGGTGTATCTCGTATGGTGGACAACAGTTCGTCAATTTGCTTCGCTGTTGAGCGAATCAACAACTCGCCATTTTCTTCGGAGGGTTGGAATAGCAAAGCCGTCAACCAACTCAGCATTTTTGTACGCTTGTATCGCGCAGTTCCAAATCTGTATCCGTCTAAACATCCAGATATTTCATCCAGTAGCACATACTCTTC